TACTAGTTCTATGGCCTTGGCTTAAACGCCTTGTTGCTACTAGTCCCCTTTAGATGCTACTCTGTCTAAGGAGTTGGTTTTTACTGAGGCTTTGTCCCGACCAACTTTCTTGGGAGTATACTTGGGAATTGTCTATCACATGTCAATATAGTTTATTTGCTAGGCTTTAAATTTCCCTTTGCCAAGTGATTACAATTTTGTAATTAAAGAGTAGTCACAACATCTTTAATTGCCTAAATTGTCTTCAGATTAAATCACATTAAGGATAGGTTATACCTTTGTAATTCATTCTACGTGATATTGCAAAATTTAGCACACAAGCAATTTGTTGTATTTGTAGGATCAATTAGGAAGAAATACTAAACTATGATCATAATTTGCCCACATGGATTATGAATCGGCATATAGTTTTGTAGTTTTAGCATTAAGGGTGGAAAACCAAACCAAAATTCGTACCCATTATGTTCCACTATTCAACCTTGATGGATTTATTATGCGTAAAAATTTAGCCCACAGACAATTTTTATGGCATTCAAGTCTGTCTCTTGCATAACTTACATTGGTAATAATATGCACTTCAGTCTTTCTCTATCTTTGTGCCTCGAAAATTCTAACCAAGCGTTCATTATTCTTTACAGAACTCAACTCCTAACTCAAAACACAATAATGATTGACGTTCCTATGTTAAGCGATGACAATCACCAACAATGGAAAGACGTTGTTCTCCTACACTTAGGGTTGTTTGAGATGGATTTCGCTATTCACAATAAAGAGCCTCCTCCTATCACTGATGATAGCTTTGAGGCTACCAAGAAATTTCACGCACAATGGACTAGACCAATCGGTTGTGTGTGTATTTCATTAAGGCATGAATTCCAAGAAGTATTCGTGGGTCAATTGACCATTGTGACAAAGTCGAACCTTGTTCAAAGCTATTGATGACTAGTTTGCTACATCGAATAAAGATTTGGCAAGTACTCTAATCATGAATTGAAGTTTTTTGGTCTTCGTCTTTCCATTGTTAAGGGCACGCGCAAACACATCATGCAAGGGATATTGCGGCTGAACTGAAGAAGTTGGAAATAATTTTACCAGATACCTTTTGTTGTGCATTTTGTACTTAACACCCTCCCTCAACATTATAGCCCCTTTAAGATTTCATACAACACACGTAAAGACAACTGGACTATCAATGAATTGATAACCATGTGTGCACAAGAGGAAGAAAGGCTTATTGAGGTAGTTGGGGGGAGTGCTATGTTGGCCACAACAAAGCCTAAAGAGAAATTTGGGAGATCTAAGGGATCTACTGCAGCAACAAAAGGAAAACTGACCCCAAAAGCTGATTTTAAGAAGGTACAAAAGTGTTTCTTCTACAAGAAGAAAGGACACATGAAAAAGATTGTACCAAATTCAAGAAGTGGGTGTCCGATAAAGGTAATATTTCCTCCTCTTTTGTATGTTATGAATCTAATATGTCATATGTAAATACTAATTCTTGGTGGATTGATTTTGGTTCAACAATCCACATTGCAAATTCTTTGCAGGACATGCAAAATCTAAGGCAACCAATGGAAACTGAGTGTCACGTCTTATTTGGAAACAAGATTCGCTCAACGGTTGGAGTTGCTGGAGTTTGCAAATTAGTTTTGAATAATGGTTTTGTTTTGACATTAGATAATACATTTTCTGTTGTTAGTTTCTCAAGGAATTTAATTTCAGTTTCAAGATTTGTACCCTTTGGATTCAAATTTGAATTTTATCGCAAGTATTTTAAATTATTTAGTAATTCTACTTGTGTTGGTGATCTTACATTGTCTGATGGTCTCTATCTTCTTAACTTAAAAAATGATTTAATTCACAATTCTTTACATGTTCAAAACGGCACCAAACGATGTAGTACTAACGAAAGTTCCTCAATGTTATGACACCGGAGATTAGGTCATATCTCCCTTGAAAGAATTAAAAGATTGGTAAAAGATGGAGTACTTTCTACTCTAGACTATACCGATTTTGAGACTTGTGTTGACTGCATTAAAGGTAAGCAGACAAACATTTCAAAGAAAGGTGTCAATAGAAGTTCAACGTTATTGGAAATTATACATACTGGCATATGTTGTCCTGATATGGACATGCCTGGTCAGAATTATTTCATCACCTTTATTGATGATTTCTCAAGATTTACCTATATGTATTTACTTCATAATAATCATGAAGCATTGGAGGCCTTTAAATTATTCAAGTCTAAAGTTGAAAACAACTGTAATATGCAAATACAAATAGTTAGATCTGTTAGAGGTGGTGAGTACTATGGTAGATACACTGAAAATGGACAAGCACTAAGTCACTTTACTATGTTTCTTCAAGAACATGGGATTGTTGCTGAATGAATTTTTAGAAAGTGAGAAAGAGTTGCAGGGATAATGTTAGCCGAGTATTTATGCTGTGGATCCAGAATTCTCTCTCTAGGGTTACGCTAGGGTTTCTCTCTTCCCTTCTCTGATCGAGATTTCCGGCGACTTCTGGCTTCTTTCTACGGGTCTGCACCGGCGTTCACTGTCCGTAAACATGGAGCAAGAGTCGGTGACGGAGGCGGTTAATATTTTGGGCAGGCGCTGGGCTGACGTCGCTCTTGATGACGAGGAGGACGATGTTTTCATACCGCCGGGCGTGGGGGGTGACGAACAGCCTGCTGTGGCAGTTCAAACATGGCGGCTGGTTGGAAGATTCTTGACTACTAAGCTTGTGAAGACAGAGTTCATGAGCCAGGTCATGGCTTTGGTATGGCAGCCGGTTAAGGGGGTACGGGTCTCAAAATTGCAACCGGGGCTTTTCCTGTTTGTGTTTTTCCATGAAACAGATATTCAATTGGTTCTTGAGGGAGGGTCATGGTCCTTTGAGAATCACACGTTTGTTTGCAAACAGGTCCAGGATGGGGTAATTCCGGTCACGGTACCGCTGAACACGGTTGATATGTGGATACAGGTGCATGACTTACCGCTGGGCTATACCTCTGACCTTATTCTGGAGCAAGTTGGGAATTTTCTCGGAACTTTTGTTAAAATTGATGATAGGTTTGCGAATGCACCATGGAAGACATTCTACCGGATTAGGGTTTCAATCTCAGTCTTGAAACCACTGAAACGTCTCATGAAACTTATGAAGAGGGATAAGTCGACGTGTTGGGTTAACTTCAAATATGAAAGGCTGCACAACTTTTGTTACTTCTGTGGTATGATGGGGACATCTACACAAGTATCGTCTAAAAGCGAGAGATGCAGGAATACCAATTGACCAGTATCCGTATGGTGAGGGCCTACGTGCGGGTTTTAAGAAGGGTCCGCGTAAGGTGGATGCATCATGGCTGCTAGACATGAACGGCAACCCCATGGCGGGGTCCCCTTTGGGCGCTATTCCGAGTGCTCGGGTTGATGGACAAGATGGTAGTGCATCTGAGGCTGCACGGGACGGTGGGGAGAATGGTGTAGTCACGGCTGCAACAAAGAGGAGAATGGCCGATTTGAATGTGAATGATGAGGGCAGTGTGAAGAATGGAGGGGATGTTGTTATGACAGAGATCCAAAAAAACTTGTCTGTGGTGGGTACTGGTTCCCAGTCCCGCCCGTCATTATGAGTACCATCAGCTGGAACTGTCGTGGCTTGAGCAATCCACGAACAGTTCGAGAGTTAACGGACCTAGCGTCCCGTAAGAAGCCTGATTTTATTTATCTTATGGAAACCATGGTGGAACGAATACATGCTGAAAGGATTCGTGTCACCCTTGGTTTTGATGGTCTTTTTTATGTTGATCCGAGTCCGCAGGGTGGTGGTGGCTTAGCACTACTGTGGCGTAAGAATGATACGGCGAGTCTTTTGAGTTACTCCAAAAATCATATTGATATTGAGGTGAATATGCCCAGTTTTCTGAGGTGGAGGATGACGTGTTATTATGGCTATCCCCAGCGTCATATGCGTACGGAAGAATGGGACTTGATAAAATCCTTCGCGCCGCGTTCCACCCTACCTTGGGTTATGATTGGGGATTTTAACGAGCTCTTGTTTCAATATGAGAAGAGAGGGGGCAATCCACATCCTAATAATCTCCTACGCGGATTTGGGGAGACTATTGATCACTGTGGCTTGACTCAATTGCCTATGGAGGGATACCGGTTAACTTGGGAAAAGGGGAAGGGTACACCTGCATGTATTGAAGAAAAATTGGATAAGGTACTGGCTTCTAATGATTGGCGGGAGATTGTGTCGAGGGCCAGGGTCATTAATAATCTGATGAAGAGATCGGATCACTCTGCACTGTTTCTGAGTATCCATAAAACGTTCCGGAGTGGGGGGCGAGGAAGGAGGGGTTTTCGGTTTGAAATGGCCTGGGTATATGATGATGGGTGCAGGAATGTGGTGGAAAAGTCATGGGAGGAAGGGAGGCATGATGGGGTCCAGGACTGTATAGCACATTGTGGGAACCGGTTAACCAAGTGGGGTGGTGACCGGTATCATAAGTTTGGGGAGAAGATCATGCTCCTGCGGAAACAGCAACTACATCTTAGAGCATCCACATTGGTTGGGGAGAATGGGGGGATAATGTAAGAGTGATTAGGAAAGAGAATGTGGGAGGGGAGAGAAAAAAAAAACAAAAAAAAAACAAAACAAAAAAAAAATTAAAAAAAAAAAAGTAATCAGACGCGTCAGGCGCGCCGACTGGCGCGCCTGACGCGCCTCCGGGCGCGTGCGCTGCACGCGCCCGGCTTCGCGCACAGCCTTCCTCCTTCTTCTTCTTTTTTTTTTTTTTTTTTCTGACAATATCCTCACATTTGCAGGATAATTATTTTTCAATTATCTCCCCTCCACACTAGTTATTATCTCATGTAGGGAAGAATTAATGCTGAAATCTCCCCACAATATGCACAAGTGTGGATGCTCTTAGGGGTCGCACTGATCCAACATCTCTAGCTGAATTCCAGTGACTGGAGGGAATTCTGAGTAATATGGAGAGCCAGGAGGATGTTTACTGGAGGCAAAGAGCCAAGCAACACTGGCTTAAGAATGCTGATGCGAATACAAAATTCTACCACAAGTACGCCTCTCATCGTAAGAAGAAAAATACTATTTATAAACTTATGAATGATAATGGGGATTGGTTGGAAGGAAATGCTATGAATACAATTATCTTGGATTACTTTACCCATATATTCTCCTCTTGTGGACCTGTGGATGGTGACATTTTATTCTCTGAGATAACCCCCCGTGTAACCCAGACTCAGAATGAATCGTTGTTACGACCCTTTGAGTTAATTGATGTTAAGGAAGCTCTGTTTGCAATGGCCCCAGACAAAGCCCCTGGTCCGGACGGTATGAACCCAGGTTTTTACCAGCATTTTTGGGATATAGTTGGTAATGATATTTCGGCGTTTATTCTGAACTGCCTTAATAATCGGATCTTCCCCTCTAACCTGAACAATACGGATGTGGTGCTCATCCCGAAGAAGAAAACCCCTGAAGTGGTAGCAGATTTTCGCCCAATAGCTTTGAGTAATGTGATCTACAGGATAATGGCGAAGATGATTACACAGAGAATGAAGCCTTTGATGGAGAGTATAATATCGGGCTCACAGAGTGCTTTTATTCCGGACAGGCTGATTACTGATAATATTCTTGTAGCTGCTGAGGTGGGGCATTTCTTGAATAGAAAGCAGTGTGGGGCTGTAGGATGGGGTGCACTCAAACTTGATATGGCCAAAGCCTATGACCGTATGGAATGGCCCTTCCTCCGTGGGATGTTGTTAGCCCTGGGTTTTGATAGTAGGTGGATTGAGTTGATTATGTTATGTGTCACTACTGTGTCATATAACTTTATGATAAATGGCTCCCGTAGCTCCTCCATTACGCCCACGCGTGGTCTCCGCCAGGGGGATCCGTTATCCCCTTACTTGTTTATTATATGTGCAGAAGGGTTGTCAGTTTTATTGCAATGAGCGCAGGATAGAGGATTAATACATGGTTGCAGGGTTGCTAGAGGGGCACCTCCGATCTCTCACTTATTTTTTGCAGATGATAGCCTACTATTTTTCAGAGCAAATATACAGGAAGCATCTGAGATAAAAAATTGTTTGTTATTATATGAGAGTTTATCTGGCCAGAAGGTAAATTATCATAAATCCAGTATATGTTACAGCAGAAATACAGGACAGAATGATAGGGATGTGGTAGCACAAATACTAGGTGTTACTCAAGCTCCAAATTTTGGGAAATACCTAGGACTACCCTCCTTTGTGGGCAGGAACAAGAAGGCTGCATTTGCATATATAGAGGATAAAATCAAGCAAAGGATTGGGTCTTGGAATAAGAGATTGTTAACGCAGGCTGGTACGGAGATCTTGTTAAAAAGTGTGGCCCAGGCAATGCCAACTTTTTCAATGAGTGTCTTCCTATTACCCATATCTATTTGTACAGCTATTGAGCGAATTATGAATCGGTACTGGTGGGGGTCAGGAACCGATCGTGGCATCCACTGGAAGGCCTGGGATAAGTTATGTGTCCCAAAGAAACATGGTGGTCTGGGGTTTAAAGATTTAAGGGCATTTAATTTGGCAATGTTAGGTAAACAGGCCTGGAGACTGCTTACTAACACAGACTCACTGGTAGCCAAGATTTATAAAGCCAGATATTATCCAAAGGATACTTTCCTGGAGGCGACTATAGGAAATAATCCAAGTTTTTGCTGGCGCAGTATTATGGCGGCTAAGGATCTAATATGTGGAGGTATAAGAAGGCGAGTTGGGAACGGTAAATCTACCTTGATATGGGAACATCCCTGGCTGCAGGATGAACTTGATCCTATGATTCACACAGAAATGCCACAACACCTGTCTGGGGCCAAAGTGGTAGGATTAATTGATCAGGATACGGAGACCTGGGACGCGCATATATTAGCCGATATTTTCCAGCCAAGTGATATACCTAGAATCCAAAGGATACCAGTTGCACCTGAATATGAGGATATATGGTATTGGTATGATGATCCTAATGGATGTTACTCGGTCAAGAGTGGTTACAGGCGTATAGTTGGTAACTATGTGAATAATTCTAATGGGATATTTGATGAATGGCTAGCCCTATGGAAGTTAAAAATTCCACCCAAGTGGAAGACATTCTTATGGAGAGCTATTTGTGATATCCTTCCTACTACCAACAACTTGCTTATAAAGAGAGTGGAGGTTAACCCGATGTGTGCCATGTGTGGGAGGATGAATGAAGATACCATGCATGCATTAGTTTTGTGTGACTATGCACACTCCATATGGACTCAATCCAACCTTCCAATTCCCAATATTATCACAAATGTTTTCCATGAATGGTTTAGTGCAATCTTGAATGTTCTAGACTTTGATGGAATTATTTATGCAGCTGCAATTTTATACCACTTATGGAGGGCCCGAAACGGAGCGGTGTGGGATGCCTGCCTACCAAGACCAACGAAGTTATTGACGATTGCAACAGCTACAATGAGGGCATGGAAAGCTGTCCACCACCGTGCGCCACAACAACCTGCTCAACACCCCGGAGCTGCTCCTATTCATCATACTGCCGACGTACCGTTACTGGCCGACGGAACTGCCTCCAATGCGCTGCCTCCACCGCACACTGTCTCGGTCGAACCCCAAGATGGCGCAGCAACGGCGCCGGTGAAATGTTACATAGACGCGAGCTACCACCGTGGAACAAATACAGCTGTTGTTGGGGCGGTCCTCCTCAACGCAAATGGCCACTATTTATCGGCTTTCAGTGCCCCGTTAATAGGATGCCACTCCCCGTTAATGGCCGAGGCTTTTGCATGCAAAGAAGTATTATCATGGCTTAAGAGACGGAACGAGCAATCTATACAAGTACACACGGATTGCCAATTATTATAGTCCTATCTATCTGGACCATCAACCACATCACGGTCATACCTGGGTTATGCTATCGACAGTTGCAGAACCTATTTATCTACGTTTGCTTACTGCTCAGTTATTTACATTCCTAGATTACAGAACTTATTAGCTCATACTTTAGCTTCTACGGCTTTTACTTTCGCTACTGCTATGTACTGGGACAACGTCCCTCCAGACTCTATTTTATCACTTCTATAAATCCAACCACCAGGTTGACTTTCAAAAAAAAAAAAGACCCTTCTGAATATGGTGTGAAGTATGCAAAGCAACTCTAGCCTTCCAAAATCGTTGTGAGGTGAAGCACTTAAGACGGCTACGTATATATTAAATCATGTTCCAACCAAGGTTGTCCCTAAGACACCATTTGAGTTATTCAAAGGTTGGAAACCGATTTTGCAACATATGCGTGTTTGGAGATGTCAGTTTGAGGTGAGGATATATAACCCGCACGAAAAGAAGCTTGACCCAATGAATATTAGTGTTTTCTTTATTGGATATGCACAATCTTCTAAGGGTTATAGGTTTTATTGTTGATAGGAATATTTTTGTAAGTTTTGATGAGCCAAATGTACTTTAGATCCCATTAGTTTTTAGGTCTTTTAGTACAGGCATCATAAATCAGAATATCGAGTCAAAAGGAATCTACCATAGGAAAAACAATTTTAATTTGAGAAATTAATTTTGGTCCTACGAGTATTCATCCGAGAAAGAAGCATAAAGAAATGATGTTGCAAAGAATGACCGAATGAGCCTAACAGCGAAATGGTAGAAGTCCTTACTCAAAATGATCACACCCGAGATCGATTCCCCCCCAAGGACTTATTTTTACAAGACAAGTTTTCGGACAAGCACAATGCTACCAAAAGAGCACAATGTATTAAAAAGAGCACGATGTGTGCTAAGGAGCACAATGTGAACAAGCACGATGTGTCCTTTCACGATGTGTCCAAAGGAGCACAATGTGACCAAATCAGAAAAGCACAATGTTCAAGTCAAAGGAGCACAATGTGGCAAAGAAGCAAGATGATCAGAAATTGGATTAATTCGAAGGAATTTATTCCAAGTCTACTCACATGCCACAAGAATCCAAAATTGCCTGAAACACATTTGATCAGAACGGAAAAATATTTATGAAGACATGAATATAAAAACTTATCCTAGAAATAAATTCTATCAGATGAATTTATTTCAAAGATACGTTGGATATTCAATATGACAACAAAATAATATTTTAAGAAACAACTAGAAAATCAAGTTGTGATAAAATATTATTTGTCAGGCAAGTTGACAATCAAATCAAAATTGAAGACCTACTATTGTCAACAATATCAGGCTATGAAGATTCAAAATTCAAATATCAAATTATCCCACTCCAACGGATATATTTGATTGCCTATAAAAAGCCATGAAGACTTGAAGACAAACATAGCTGTGAAAAAGAAAAGGGGTGAACAAGACAGAGCACCGCGATAGAAGTGCAATACACACGAAAATTCAAAAAGTGCAAGTGCTCAAATATTCTTAGAGACTTAGTCTGAATAGTCTCAAATCTAGTTGGAGAGAGAGAGAGATACAATTACCTTTGTATTTGTAATTGTAGAAAGAGTATAGCTGTGTGCAAAATACTCTAGTGAGTGTAGCTGTGTGCAAAACACTCGTAGTTGCTAAGTGTAGCTGTGTGCAAGACACTTAGTTGGCGTTGAGTATAGCTGTGTGCGAAATACTCGAAGTTGAGTGTAGATGTGTGCGAGACACTCGGAGTTGGGTGTAGCTGTGTGCAAGACATCCGGAAGAAGTTCTTGTGTAGCGCTTATTCACTATTGTAACTGTGTGTGAAAAATAGTGAATTTCTCCTAGACGCGAAAGGAGAAAAGTGGACTAGGAAGATTACGCCACTTCCGAACCACTATAAATTGCCTCTCTCATTTACATATCGCACTTACATAATTTGCTCTATCTATCTATCTTATCCGACTAACCCGTTTACTATTCACAGTCAATCTTAATCGTTCGGGTTTAGTGTGTTTTCACGTATGCATGTGACTCAAACTTCTCAAGCTTAAATATTGAATTATTCTAAGCAAGTTTGACGTGTTGCAGGTAACATTCATCACACGGTCGACGTGATACGATATTTATTTATAATCTTGAATATTGTTATTATATATTGAGTGCACCATCTCCTTTATATATTCAAGATATCTCTGTCATTTACAAATCATCTGTACCTATCTTACATGCGTATTTAATTTATTGATTGGGCATAACTCTTTACATACTTCCTATTCCGCTGTGCAGTTTAAAACTTACTCTATTTACTTGATATTTAGAGTTGAAGTTACCCTAGAGTTATTTATTTTGAAAAAGCTTGAAAGTCTATTCACCCCCCCCCCCCCTCTACACTTTCACCACCCTATCGGGACCAACAATTGGTATCAGAGCGGTTGTCTATTTGAGTCAATTTTGACTGCTAGACAGATCTCGAAAAATCAAGATGATGAAAAGAGATATGGCTCTTGCCCAAAACTTATTATTTTCCTTAGAGAAATTTGATGATTGGAAAATTCGCATGCAGGTACATTTATCCGCATTACACGATGAAATGTGGGAAGTGGTTACGAGTGGTCCTATTGAGATTTTGCAAGTCAACACCTCATCCGTACAAACAAGTGACACTCCACAATAGATTCCAAAACCAAAAGAGGAATGGTCTCGTGAAGATAGAACAAGAAATAACTTGGACAATATTGCCAAGGATATTTTGTTTAAATCTATCGATGACACGATATTTCCAAAAGTTCGAAAGTGTCAATCCGCGAAGGAAATTTGGGAAATGCTCATTCAAATTGGTGAAGGAGACGAACAAGAAAAAGATAATAAGCTCACTATAGCATTAAAGAAATTCAAGGATTTCAAAATGCTAAACGGCGAAAATATTACCGACATGGAAACAAGATTTGCCAAAATCTTAGGAGAGATTAATGATCTTGGAAAAGATATTAATCAAAAAGAAATCTCACTCAAAATTCTACGTGGTCTACCATCTACATGGGACATGAAAGTCACGGCCATGAGAGATCATAGGGATCTAAAAACCCTATCGACCGATAAGCTCTTCAGTGATCTAAAAGCTTATGAATTTGAGATGAAATCAAGATTAGAGGAAGATCATGAAGAAAAGAACAATGCACTTATAGCCGAGCAACCATCAACCTCAAGGTCAGTACAAAATGTTGAATTATTGCCTAATGATCAATTTGCTCTCTTTGTCAAAAAATTTAGGAAATTCATGAAGAGAAGCAACTACAAGAAAAATCCACAAGGGAAATCGTGGAACGCAACAAAGAATTCGAAGAAAGAAATTGTTGAAGAAGATTCGAATTTATGCTACAACTATAGAAAGCCTGGACACTTTGCAGCAAGTTGTCCACACCCCAAGGTAAGTAAAAATCAATATACAAATGTTTCTAACTCTCAACAGGAAGAATTCAAGCCCAAAGATAAAAGGTTCACAAAGGAGAGAAGAAAAGCACTTATTAGTGACCCACTTGAAATAAGTGAGTCAGAAGAATCTTCAAGTGATGAAAGTGACACCTCAAAGGATGACAATGCAATGTTTTGCATGAGCATCTCCAACAACTCACCCTACGAGGACATGTGTCTTATGGCAAATGGAAGTGAAGAAAATGAGGTAACATCTAACTCTTATGATTCTGTAAACTCTTCATTTTCTAGAGAGTCATTCTTTCACTTAATGGAAGAATGTCAAATCGTAATGGACACTCACTCTCAACTCAAAGAGCGCAATTGTCTTTTGATTCTCGAAAAAGATCAAATAAATGAGAAATTGCAAAATGCTCTACTTGAAGTGAAAGACTTGAAAGATAAAATTATTTGTCTTCAAGAAGAGTGTAAATCAAGGGAAGTGAGAGAACACAACCTTAGAGAGGTTATAGCAACATTTACACATTCATCCAAAATAATGGACAAAATGGTAAATATGCAAAAACCCTCAAGTGATAAAACCGGACTCGGTTATGATCCATCGTGTTCTCAAGCCTCCACGAACTTAGCCAATTCTACTACTACTTTAACTAATAAAGTCCAAGTAGTAAAATTTGTTAAAGGTCAAGAAAGCACAGTGAGACAAGGAATTGGTCACCAAACTAATGTCAAGGAAATAATATTTCGCCCAAACAGTATACAAAAAGGCAAAAGTTTGTTCCTAAATGGAAACACACCAATGAGTCTAGTGCACAAAGCCCTCATAGGAAAATGGGAAGGAATCCAAGAATTGAGGCAGGGAGATTTTATCCCTCAAAAAGATTGGGTTGGTTATATTAAACCATGGACTAAGTCCAGATTTAATGCCTATCCTAGGCCCAAACAATCTTCATCCCACGTGCCAAAAAATCGAGTAAATTTTCAAAAACCGGCACAAAAATTGTTTTCAAAAATTAATTATGATTATAATGTGTTTAATGGTTACCAATCACCTAAACTTAGATTAGTGAGTACAAGGTGGATTTGGGTACCGAAAATGACTAACACCCAAGGACCCAAATCAAGTTGGGTACCTAAAAATGTTTAATTTGTTTGCAGGAAGTTTGGTACTTCGATAGTGGATGTTCTAGACACATGACTGGAAATAAATCTAGTCTTGTGAATCTTAGAAATATCGAAGGACCAAAAGTCGTATTCGGTGGAAATGAACGATACGGCATAACAAAAGGAATTGGTACAATTTTTCGAAATGGTTTGAAAATCGAAGATGTATCCTTTGTTGAAGGTCTAAAATTCAACTTGTTGAGTACAAGTCAATTTTGTGACAAAGGATATCTAGTTGAGTTCTTCAAAGACAAGTGCCAAGTAAAGAATAATTCCTCGGGAGAAGTTGTGCTCGAAGGAATAAGGAAGAAAAATATGTATGTTGTGGATTGGAACACAACAAAAGAATCAGTGTGTCTACTAGCAAACAACTCACACGCAACAAGTTGGGAATGGCACAAGAAGTTGAATCATCTAAACTTCAAGACAATCAACAAGCTAGCAAGAAACAAACTCGTTGAAGGTTTACCCGACATTGTCTACAAGAAAGATCAAATATGTGATGCTTGCCAAAGAGGAAAGCAAATCAAGTCATCTTTCAAATCCAAAGCCCAAGAATCTACAACAAGACCTCTAAGTCTACTACACAT